AAATGCCATACCTACAAACATTCGATGAGGTGGTGCGGCGTGTTCTCAAATATTATCACTGCTCAGCAAAACGCCTTATACAACTTAAAGATCTTGCGAACACTTTAAGTGAGGAAATCTTGGAAATGAAAGATGTACACACAGTGTGCTGGTTATGCAGCAAAGTTGAGGCCTTGAGTGCTTTTCTGCAAAACTGGAAGACAGTAGTGAGCCATTTTGAGCAGATATCAACAGAGGGATCATCTGAATCTGCTAAAGTTAAAGGCATCCTGAAAGACCTGAAACAGCTGAGGTTTGTGAAACTTTTGCATTTCCTATTCGATTTTTATAGCAAGCTGCAATGTTTGTCAGAGGGTCTTCAGAACAAGGAACTTATGATCTGTCAGGTAAAAAACAAACTAGAACATGCAGTCAAAACTCTTCAGGATCTTTCTGATGAAAGGAAAAAACAAACTTGAATTTCTTTCCCATTTCTTTCTTCCAATCTGTATTGGCCAAAGCAGAAAGATATTTGATTTTGAGGCTTTCCTCATTCTCCTCAGATATTGTACAATCTTTCAATATATTTAACAGCGTGTCTTGGCCAGACAAAGCACACATCCTCAACTTTGGATTGACTGAGTTGCACAGAATTGCAAAACATGTTTTTGATAATCAGTTTGAAGATAAAATTGACCTGTTAGAAGCAGAGTGGGCTGACCTAAAACTCTCCATGCAGGAGATAAACAAAAAAATACAAAATGTTTACTACAGGTTTAAAGCTGTAAAACTTGATATTTTGATTGCACCCTATTGCTATTAAGCTATTGCTGTTATGTTTACATTGACATAATAAAGCTATGTTATAATTGCAGTTTTTTATATTTTGGACTCTTTAGTCTAAAGAAAAATGTAATTTCATAAGCTTTAAGGGGGCGTGGTTGAGGGCAGGGCTGGGGGTGGGGGACAGGCTGGGGGTGGGGTTGGAGGCGGACCTGGGCAAGGTTGGGTGGGGCAAGTGGTGGAGAGTAAGGTTTGTGCCTGGCTAGTAGGTCTAGACTCGAAATTTTAAGCACTGATCTAGATAGTCTGTGATTTGAATGCCCTAGGTTATGAGCAGGGTCAACAGAGGTATTTAGACCTTTGTGAACACTCTGGGAGCAAAGGATATGTTCAAGGCACTGCAAAAAACTGGCTGTGATTTTCTGCCACTGTGAACAGAAAGCACTGATGAGGTGGGCAAATGGGGACATGTAGATAGGCATTCTAGATGTGCACTGATGCCATGTGTTCCCTTTGTCTTAGACAGGCAATTACTGGCAATTACTAATCCTGCTGATTCCATAAGAAATTTGGAGTGTGGAGGAATTTGTTGAGGATGGATACCTCTGCTGGGCTTTTGTGTCATGAAGGGGTTTGAGTAGAAACCTTTGAATATGTCTTGTGGATGTACTGACACAATGACTCTGTGGGACAAAAGGTGGTTCATGGCCTTTTGTGAATATAAATGTCTCTGGGTAGTCTTTGGTTGATTAGAGAAGAAGATGGTATGGGGAAAAGTTTTGAACTCTGTGTTGTACCCTTTTGAAACCACTGATTGAAAGCATTGGTCTGGGACATCTGCGACCCAAAGAGAGGCAAACTGTAACAGATGTCCCTACACTTACAAGTTGAGGTGGCCTTCATTGTGAAGAGGGCTTTGGGGAAGGCTTTGTGACTTTTGTGGGTCAAGCCTTGTGCCAAAAGTAAAGGCTGAACTTAAGCTTTGAAGTTGAAACCTGGGTAGAGCTGACTATTACCTGACTCTATGGAAGTCTTCCATGCAGTTTTTTAAGGAGAACTCTACCCCCTGCTCTTTACCCCCCCATCCCTCTTTTTTCCTGTGTTTCATAGTGCTGGTGACATATTAACGCAAATGCCTGGATTGCGACAGACATTCTCTTCACTTCTACAACAAACAACCCCTTCCAACTTTTCTAAAACGGGGTAAGTTAATTCTCTTCTTGTTGTTGCTGCATCCTCCTAGAGCACAAAGAAAATTCCTCCTATAAGCTTTAACCAATGCTCTGCTGAACACTGATAGAAGTCACAAGACTGTTCTAACTGCTGATGAGAAAAGGTATTTAGCAGTTTATATTTATTAAAACAATTGCACTTCCCTGTTCTGTGTGCTGTGGGAGAACAGATATAGTGAATGCAGGGTCCTGGGTTTAATAACACTTTAATACATTTGGAAAGCCTGCCCTCATCTGGCTGGAGATTTTCAGGATTTAGTTTTTTCTGGCCTCAGTCTACCAGTGTTTATTGATAGTAGAAAATCTTGACTTTTCAATAAACATCTGTGAAAAAGAAAACAGTATGATGCGCTGGGGTCAGCACATCAACACTGTCACACAGAGCAGACCAGCGACTGTGCATTCACCGTGGCTCGCTGGTGTGAACGAGCCCTAAATGTTCAGATACAGTTTCTTCCATGCTACCATCCAGTGTTATATGAATTACTTAATAAATATCTTGTAATTCCTACCTGAAACTATTGTTTATTGTAAAAATTTTTAAGAACACTTATTATTTTTTTAAATTCTGTTTTATTATGAAATACAGACATGTTCTTTAATTGACTTGCTGTTAAATATCTAATCTGTGATTTGCAGTAGGATGATAAATCCAGACTAGAGTAATTAGGACACTTTATATGGAGCCAATGAGAAATTCAAATACAGGAATGAGGTTTTGGCACACTGTACATAGAGTGCTGAGCTGGAAGTGTTTTTTAGGACATACTACAATTCTCAACCATCTGTTTACATTGTGCTCAAATAATCAACTTCAGCTAAGAGAATCAAAAAAGGATGTAGATTCTTACTAAACCCCCAAATGCAAGTTAATATTGTTTTGTGGCAAATATCCTAAAGGAGCATGTATTTACATTCGTCATCTACAGTATATAGCATAAACATATTATGAAGACCTGAAAAACACATGGACTATTCACTTCAGTTAGTGTCTTCCACGGACTTACACTTATATTTGCATACAGTCACACATAATAAAACTCTAGGGATATTTTTAGTTAGAAGCCATTCAGTGCACAGTCATAAAGCCCCTTAAAAGCTAACTGCCCCCCTCCACAACTTATCCTCACTTTCCTTGTGCTTCCCCAGCCTCTACATGGTTGTGGCGTCACAGCTGCTGCCTAATAACTGATACTTCCAAGTAGAGGAGATCTTGTGACCTCCTCCCTCGATGCAATGCTCCAGCCCTAGCGGACAAGTATCAGGTCCTGACACTGCCCCATGAAGGAGGGGGACACATTATCAACACTCTACGTTCTGGCACCATCTGTCATGGAGCTTAAACAAGGTTAGCACTACAGAATATTGGAGAACACAGGGAAGGTGATTATAAGTGAGTCAGGAGGTGGGATTTATAGAGACTGTGTTATTTTGCCCTGAGTGGCCAAAGTGTCAAAGTCACACACTATGGCATGTTTTTGTAAGTATACATTGGGATTCTTTATGATGATATGTAGAAGGAACAATTGATTGCGCAAGTTAGAAAAACTGCCCCGTTCAGCTCCTACTGCAGTTAAGTCAGGGCCAGCTACCAATCCCCCATTCACACTCACCCCCATTCATACAGTAACAATACAGGTTTGTGCCCTGTCCATCATTTCCTGAGTGCTGTGGACTTGGGCTTGCACATCCAAGAGTCTGTTTTCATTTAGGTCAGATCCAACACATTGGTATTTAGATCAGGATACCAGACTTTGTTTGCCCTGACTCAGTGACTCATCTTCAAAAGAAGGACAGCATTGCCAGCCAATTTATTTCTCTCAATATAAAGGTTTAATTGAAAGCAAACCCATCCAGATGGAGATATGAGAGCTTCTCGTTTTTGAAAGTTCAAAATTTGCAGCTGTCACAGTGATCATGGCTTCACTGCATCAAGAGTCACTCACCCAAAACAAGCACATAGCCAGAGGAGTGTCAGAACACCTGAACACACTTTTCTCAAGTCAGTGACTCCCTGGGTGGTTATCCAAGTTCAAGATGACTGCTCGGGAGCCGGCACTTTTAAAAATAAGTAAGTTACATGGCAGCTACCATATTATGAAACTGATGGGTGTATTTTAATACAAAAACTTATGCCTGTACAAGAAAGATTTGTCCATGCATAGTAGTAAATACAACACAAACATCCTAAATATAACATGTTAGAGCTCAGAATAGGATTCACTGGAGTCTCATTGCTTTTCATATCACATCTTTACATTCTTACCATGCTACCTGAAAGCTGGAAGAGAAAAATTCTATAATAATCCAATCTTGAAATGTGACATGTTGAATCTACCAACTCATGAATTGTGGCATTCTTTACCCATCGCTCACCCTTCACTGTCACAGACAGTTTCTTGACTTCTGTTAGGCTCTGAAGCAGCTTACAGAAAAACAAAAGTGCAAAACTGTACCATAAAATAAAGAAGTGATAGTCAAAGGTAAAACTTAAAGTATGTGTAAAGCCAAAACATTTTTTTTTACATTTTGGATAGAGTAGGATATTTTGGTGCCTGTGTCCCTATGGGGAAATTTACCTTTACTTTCAGTGACAGAGACACAAGGTTACAGAGACAGTCAGACACAAGAGTTGTAAGAGGAAATCTCTCCAGACCGAGGAACAGTTGACACTATGCCAGGTGTCTTCCTTGAAATCCTGCATTTTATTTTTCAGTGACAGCTCAAACAGCAGAAAATAAAAAAAAAACCTCACTCTATCCAAGACTTAAAATTTTGGCTTTGCACACACTTTTTTCAACATTTCTGAGAAATTAGAAAACTACAATGGACACAATTTACAAATAAACTTGTCAAACTTTTCATACCTAATAATATCAGATGTTTGTTAGGGCCATTCCAAGTTCTAAATAAACCTTACCAGTTAAGTACTTACTGTATGGTGATGAAGTCCTTCAGATGATCACTAACTTCCACTAATTTGCAAAAATTTATTGTATACGATGCGTTTGTCAATGTGACTTTTTTCTTATATGTCTTACCAACATCAAGGTCCTATAATTGCAATTAGAAAATGGAAATACCTTTCAATTATTTACTTTTGAGATTTGTCTGCCTATCACACTTGATGCTGCTCAGTCATTCCCTAAGCACAGGGGTGGAAAACTGCTGCCCTCCAGCTGTTGGTGAACTGCAAGTCCCATCATGCCTCTGCCTTTGGGAGTCGTGCTTGTAACTGTCAGTTTTGCAATGCCTCATGGGACTTGTAATTCTACAACAGCTGGAGGGCCACAGTTGCCCACCCCTGCCTTAGCATATCCTCTTGCCTACATCTTCACTGCTGCATTGAGGCTCCATGCACACTAGTGTTTTTTATAAGCAAAAAAAAAAAAGCTAGAAAAAAAAGCTGGAAGATAACTGCTGATGATAGAGTTTTTTTTCCAGCTTGTAGTAGCGTTTAGGAGCATTAGTGTTTTTTTAGCGTTTTCACAATATATGTTAAAAAAAAATCTACGAAAAAACTTATGAGTGTTTTAGTAGCATTTAGAAGTGTTTAGGAACATTCAGCGTTTTTTCCTACTGGAAAAACACTCCCAAACAGTCTGCAAAACAATTTTTTTTTCTGCTACTAAATGTTGAAGCTTGAAAAACGCTACTACCCTAAAATAGTGTGCATGAACACATAGGATAACACTAATTAGCTTCTGGAAACAAAAAAAAAAATGCTGATAACAGCTTCTAGAAGCATACAAAATGCTTGTCTGCATGGAGTCTAAGGATTTAGCCTACATAAACCTGATCTAGGTCAAATTTATAAGCAATGTAGTATATACATGTGCAGTAGTGCCAGACAGGGGCAGACTGACCATTTGGAAACTTGGGCACTGCCCGAGGGCCAGGGGTCAGTAGGGGGCCCCATGAGATGCCACTGGTACCTCTTTCATAGGCTTTTTTGAGTTTGGGCAAGGACACAGGGGCCCCATGATCCCCTCTTGCCTGGGGGCCCCATAAGTTGTCAGTCTGCCCCTGTGCCAGACCTTGTCAGTGTAAAAGGGGGGAGGGGTAGGCCTGTGACAGTTTGACTTATTCTTAAGGACCATGCTATGCCTCCTATCGCTAGATGCGTAGAAGGTTTAAGACCGTTTAGATTGGAGTTTTATGGTAGCAACTTTGGAACAAGTAGGCTTCCCAAATGAACTTATACAAAAGATTATGGCATTGTACAATGCCCCATCTGCCAGGATAAGGGTTAATGGCATCTTATCTCAACCTGTCAAAATTTCAGACGGGATCCGACAGGGCTGCCCTCTGTCTCCATATCTCTATATCCTGGCTATGGAACACTTGGCAATTGCCCTTCGGTCGAATGATACTATTCAAGGAGTATGGATGGGCGATAGGAAATATAATTTGAGTATCTTTGCTGATGGTTTGCTTGTATATGTGTCTAACCCAAAAATAGCTTTTTCAAATATTCTCCAGGAACTGGAACAATTTGGCTTCTTTAGCAACTTTAAAGTTAATGTAACAACATCTCAATGTTTAAACATAAATTTATCAGCTACTAAGAAAGAAAAGATGGAAGCCAAATTTCCACACAATGCTTTAAATATCTACAGGTGAAACTCGAAAAATTAGAATATCGTGCAAAAGTTCATTTATTTCAGTAATGCAACTTAAAAGGAGAAACTAATATATGAGATAGACTCATTACATGCAAAGCAAGATAGTTCAAGCCGTGATTTGTCATAATTGTGATGATTATGGCTTACAGTTTATGAAAACCCCAAATCCACAATCTCAGAAAATTAGAATATTGTGAAAAGGTGCAATATTCTAGGCTCAAAGTGTCCCACTCAGCTAATTAAGCCATAACATCTGCAAAGGGTTCCTGAGCCTTTAAATGGTCTCTCAGTCTGGTTCAGTAGGAATCACAATCATGGGAAAGACTGCTGACCGGACAGTTGTGCAGAAAACCATCATTGACACCCTCCATAAAGAGGTAAAGTCTCAAAAGGTAATTGCAAAAGAAGTTGGATGTTCTCAAAGTGCTGTATCAAAGCACATTAATAGAAAGTTATGTGGAAGGGAAAAGTGTGGAAGAAAAAGATCCACAAGCAGCAGGGATGACCGCAGCCTGGAGAGGATTGTCAGGAAAAGGCCATTCAAAAGTGTTGGGGACTTTCACAAGGAGTGGACTGAGGCTGGAGTCAGTGCATCAAGAGCCACCACACACAGACGGATCTTGTCAAGCCGCTCCTGAACAACAAACAACGTCAGAAGCGTCTTACCTGGGCTAAAGAAAAACAGACCTGGTCTGTTGCTCAGTGGGTCCAAAGTCTTCTTTTCTGATGAGAGCAACTTTTGCATCTCATTTGGAAACCAAGAACCCAGAGTATGGAGGAAGAATGGAGAGGCACACACTGCAAGATGCTTGAAGTCCAGTGTGTAGTTTCCACAGTCTGTGTTGATTTGGGGAGCCATGTCATCTGCTGGTGTTGGTCCACTGTGCTTCATTAAGTCCAGGGTCAACGCAGCCATCTACCAGGAGACTTTGGAGCACTTCATGCTTCCTTCCGCAGACAAGCTTTATAGGGATGCTGACTTCATTTTCCAGCAGGACTTGGCACCTGCCCACACTGCCAAAAACACCAAAACCTGGTTCAATGACCATGGGATTACTGTGCTTGATTGGCCAGCAAACTCGCCGGACCTGAACCCCATAGAGAATCTATGGGGCATTGCCAAGAAAAAGATGAGAGACATGAGACCGAACAATGCAGAAGAGCTGAAGGCCGCTATTGAAGCATCCTGGTCTTCCATAACACCTCAGCAGTGCCACAGGCTGATAGCTTCCATGCCACGCCGCATTGAGGCAGTAATTGCTGCAAAAGGGGCCCAAACCAAGTACTGAGTACATATGCATGCTTATACTTTTCAGAGGTTCGATATTGTTCTATGTACAGTCCTTGTTTTATTGATTGCATGATATTCTAATTTTTTCGAGTTTCACCTGTAGGTGTAAATATAACTCCTTTAGAAGAACAAATATATGAATTAAACTATTTGCCCTTATTAAACTCTATAATTAGTGAGTTGAAGTCTAGAACTAAGGGAAAATATTCATGGTTTGGGCGGATGGCAATTTATAAGATGGATGTTCTCCCTCGATTTTTATACCTATGCCAAACACTTCCTATCTCCCTTCCATGGATGTTTTTCCATTCCTTACGATCTAGTCTAATTTGGTATATCTGGTCAAATACTTCGATTAAAATTCGGCATGAAATTTTGGTCATGAGGAAGATGGAGGGGGGAGTTGGATTACCACATATGGAGTTTTATCATATAGCATCTATAATGACCAGGATTCTTGACTAGTTTTATCATAGCCACTCAAAACAGTTGGAATCTATTGAACAACTAATGTCTCCAATTCAATTTACCTCCCTACCATGGATCGTGCCTATGTTGCGCCCTCCTAGACAAATAATGTAATTCCTGACACAATCTGTGTTAAAAACCTGGGATTAGACCATTAAAAAATTGGGTATTTCTACAACACCGGGCCCTCTCACCCCGATTATGGGGAACCCAGAATTTGAGCCGGGGTTACGGTAGCTAGATTTTTATGTTGGACGTCTGTGGTTCCCTCTCCGATTAAACAGACCCTTGCTACTGAGGGACTTTTACCACTTAACGAATTATTACCTGTAGATAATTTGTATACTGGCCGCTGGCTCCATTATTTTCAACTTCAACATTTTTATAAACATTTATCTAAAAAAGGTTCATTACATAGAGACCTAACCCTTTTTGAATCACTCTGTATGAGGAGCTCGATGTGTTCACGTGCTATTTCAACAGTATATGGTATATTATTATCTCATACATATCCACATCGACCTTACTATACCAGAGACTGGTAGAGAAAATTGGGCCATATGGTAACTGAGAGGGCATGTAAAAGATCTTTCAGACTAACTTTTAAATTTAATATTTCAACTTCCATTCAATAGAAAAACTATAAAATAGTTACAAGGTGGTATAGATGCCCAATGGGAATACAAAGGATAATTTCGACCTATCCTGCAAAGTGTTGGCGTTGTGGGGAGGATGTAGGCACAATGACTCATATATGGTGGTCCTGTTCTAGGATCAAACTATTTTTGGAAGCAGTATTTGCTCACATATTAATGGCATAGCTTATCAGATGTCCCCAGAAATAGCATTATTATCTATTTTTCCAGAATCTGATATAGTTTTAAAAAGAGGACTGTCTTGTTATTTACTTTCTGCAGCACGTATAGTAATATCAGGATATTGGAATACTCAGGTTTTCCCCTCCATTAAGGAGTGGATAGATGAAATAAACAGAAGAGAATGGAGGAACTAACAGCAACCATATATGAGTGTTATCATAAGTATCTGTCAGTGTGGTTCTCTTGGGTTGAGTTTATAAACTCTGACATTCTGAGATCATTCATAGAACAGTTACCACGTAGGTATTTCAAGCAATATTTATCAAATGGTGATTAAAGGAGATGCTCTGTGGGGTGTTTGTGTTTTTGTGTCTAGGAATATTCGTGGAGGGTTTTTTTTTCCTTTTCCTCTTTTTCTATAAAATAATCACAGTTCAAGTGCAAACTGTAACTAGTATTCTTTTTTATGTTTCTTATTTTTTTTTTTTTTAATTTTTAGAAGCTAACGCAGTAGTTCTGTTCCATTAGATATATAACCATATATATAAGCATGGGGTAAAATAGTGGTTATAGTTGTACTATTTTGATGTTATTAAGAATGAAATTGTGAAACTTAAAAGAGAATCTTGTTTATAACTGCTTGCTAGTTTTTGGAAAATGACAATAACAACTAATTATTAGAAAAAAATTTGACTCATGCAATGAATCCCTTAAAGCAGGTAAATATTGTGGAGTATGATGAAGAGTGGAAACAGCAGAACATAGTGGTTGCCGTCAGCAAAACAAAGCAAATGACTTCTTCAGAAGTAGTTTTACCAAAGACTTCATACTATGCTTTCCATGTTACAGCACTCACCTTAAAATGAATAATCTTTGGTTTACTGTAAAATGGAAAACCCTTAAATTCATGCCCAGAAACCACTTGCTTTTCAACTATTCCACTCCGGAGCTTCCTCAAAGACTCTGCCATAATGTCCTTCTCCATTTTACTGCCTCCTATAGGCTTAATATCTTCTTCTTTTGACACCTATATATAAAATAAAGAATAATAAGCAGAAAGATGAAAGCAGACATTATCAGGGTAAATTTCTTACTTTGTGCACTGAGGTTTTGCCTATTCTTGCTTATGATGTTATGGAATGTTGAACTGGTTCTTAAGGACCTTGCTACGATACAAAAAAAAATAAGAGACAGCCCTCTTTCTAGATATCAATGGATCCAGCCCATCTGAACTGCACATGTTCCTGTTGTGCAGTTCATTTAGCTACTCACAAAGTGGCATCTCCCAATACAGTTAATAATGCCTAGTACACACAATGAGAATATCGAATGGAAAAAAAAAAGTTTTTGCACCACTCGTACAATAATCTGATCATTAGTACACAGCTTTCGAGAGCCGATCACAACAGTTGATGCAATAATATCTGCAGGGACAAGCACAGATTTTTTCTTGCAAGTTAACAGAACAAATGATTTTCCTTTAATCAGTACAGTATTTGTCTGTAAAAAACTGAGTGATCAAGAAAGGAAAGAATACATTACAATACAATACATTACATCATTGTGGGAAGTTGTTTATTGTCTTAAAAGAATTTTCATAACTCTAGTAACCTATTCGTTTTTGATACAAGACTAGCATCAGGGGCGTATTTGCCGCGAGACAAACAAGGCGTTTGCTTTGGGCAGCATTTTTCATGGGGGCAGAACCGCCTCCTGGAAGAAGGGATGCTGGTTCTCCTGGGCACTGGGGCTGGGCAGCACAGCAGAGTGAGGGGAGCTGTGGGAGCGGCTGTAAGACTCCGGGAAGGGAGCTGCTGTGATGGTGAGTCTTCCTCCTTCTCTCTGTTGGGGGGGGATGTGTGGGGGGGGGACTGGGGGGTTTGTGGTGGTGTACGGGGGAAGGCAGCACAAGTTCTAAATACACTCAAACACTCAAAATAAAGTGTGTACCAGACATAAGAGGTATCGAAGAATGTCATCTGTCAACTAAGCAGGAAATATTTTGATTAGCTGGAACTAAAGACATGCGACAGGGAGGTGTGCTGTCTGGGGCTAGCCATCACATGGGGCCCTTGATACCCTGTCCAGTTTTTCACAGCCCAGGTAAGAACTGGTATTTCAACCTTGCAGTAATGAGGTAAGGGGCGATCCACTGTGGAGGCTGCATTTATATTGAGGCAGTGGGGTGTTTTTCTTGTGTACATTTTTTAGCAGAAGAACCCTTTAAAAAGACAGCCCTGTTTACACAATATGCAGAATATATGCAAAGCAGCCTTACTGTCTACATTATTAGGGAGATTCGTACAAAGAAAAATGTATTATCTATATTTTATTTTGCTAACAAAAATGCTATATAAAAACTGGAGTGTGCAGACAGCTTCATGTATAAACATGACACAAACTGTATCAAACAAATTTGTAGAAACCTTACCAGTTTCTTAGGTATTCCCATGGAACATAATAGCACTAACATTTCAATAAACCTACTGAGCCAAGACAGTGATTTGGGCAGCCTGCAAATTTAAATAGTCAATATGAGCTGCTAAACATGAAGAAAAAATTAATTAAATACCGCAGACTCATAGAATTGCAAATACCTACGTGAAGCGAATTCAAATTTACCAGCACGCCTGTCATGTTCAGTTATGTATATCGCAAGAGCCAACAAACACAATGTGATGTGTGGCTGAGGACAGAACAGAGGAGGAGGGAGGACAGAGCACAGGGCAGACAGAAGGACACGGCAGAGGATAATCACCTCTGTGTGGGGAATCAGCGTATAGACACATATCAAGGGCTTTCTACTCTAGTCAGTCAGATCCAATCAGAGCTCAGAGGTAAACAGCAGAACACAAGCAACTAAAGAAGATTTTGCATCAAAACAGCCAGACTAAGCATTGCTATGAGATTTCTATATACAAGTGTTATACTCACACAAAGACATATTAATTACTATAACAAAATATATACAGACAAGTAAAGGATATCTCTGATATTTCAGTTGTGGTGGTGGTGGGGGGCAGGGGTCTTTGGCTTATTACACCTTTCAGAAAGATCTTCTCCCCTCTACAGGCAGGATTACCAACTATTAAATACCGTAGCATGTAACTTCTGGTTACAGATGGATTTAAAGGGAGAGCATAAGTCCAGTGATTGCATATATTAAGTTCTTAATACAGTTTTTACCTTAAGGAGAACCAGTCATAACTGGTCTTCTAAGGGGGCCTTGAGGTACCTGACCTGAAAAGATATTATAACTCAGTAATTCTGGCAAGAATTTTTCAGGGCACATAATGCACAGGGGAAGAGTTGGATAAAAATAGAAAATACACTAAGTTATACGAATTTAAGTAGAATTATCTGGTTACCTCCTCAATATAGAGGATTAAAATATAGCACAAGTTTGTTTACATGTAATGTTTTAAGAGTTTGGGATGCTTTACACAAACAAAGGGGGTGGGAATTTAACTCACTGTTAATGCCTCTAGGATCCACAGAGTTTTTCCTTCCAGGTAATGAGAGTATTACAGGGAAGTGGATAAAGAAGAAAGATATACAATTAAGAGATATAATGGCAGGAGAGGAAATATGTTAACTTAGCGAACTGGAAAGTAAGAGGGAAATATTTACGAGAATGGCTGAATGGCGTTTCGGTCAATTAAAACATTTTATAGGGAGTCTCCGAAAGCCATTAAGAAAAAAAGAGGATTGGAACCCTTTTGAGCACCTATTAGTTACAAGGGGAAATGGGAAGCACTGGAGTTCTAAAATATATAAGATTCTCACAGGATTAATCTCGGCTATAAGGCCACCATTTATAGAAAAATGGGAAAGGGATTTAGAAGTAATAATAGATGAGGGAAAACAAAAGAACATGTATAGTTTAATTGACACAAATGTAAATATGAAAGAAGTAGAAATTAATTACAAGTGTTTGGTAAGATAGTATATTACACCTAGTGTTGCACATAGAATAAGTGGAGACAATTCACCTTTATGTTGGCGAGGATGTGGAGATAGAGGTACAATGTTTCACCTATGGTGGGAGTGTCACAAAATCCAAGAATACTGGGGGGTATAGCACGCATAATTCAGGAAATAACAGAGGTCAATATCTCAAAGGACCCAGAGACTTGTCTTCTCTATGGTACTGAGTTCTCGGTAAAAAAATATAAAAAAACTGGATTATTCTAAGGTTTCTAAAAACTCAAAATGTAAATATTATGACTGTAAGGCTAGCTTATAAAAGATTAAACTTTTGCTCTTCCATATTTTTCATAATGTGTTAGATATCAAGATTTGTAGATTGACCACTAGAGGGAGCAGTCATTAGATAAATTAAACTCTATATCTGGAATTTAGCTCCCAAACAGTAATAGTTTCTGTTTCAAGTTAACTACCTGAAGTGTGTGGTGTGTGTGTTTGGGGAGTGCGGGGTAAAGGGGGGGTGCAGGTGATTAGGATCCATGTTTAGAGTCAAATGGACTCTACTGTCAATGTATTAGTTAGTATAAGGGCAGTAACTGTAATAGCCCACCTAACCTAATAATACAAATCAGTCCAGGTGTCTAACTAAGGTCGATAACATTTTATTTTTCATTGAATCATTTTTATTGAGGCATATTACAAAGAAAGTAAAACACCCTTTGCAACTATAACAGCTTCAACTCTTCAGGAAAGGCTGTCCACAAGGTTTAAGAGTGTGTCTATAGGAATGTTTGACCATTCTGCCAGAAGCGCATTTGTGAGGTCAGACAAGAAGGCCTGGCTCGCAGTCTCTGCACCTTCATCCCAAAGGTGTTCTATCAAGTTGAGGTTAGGACTCTTTGTGAGCCAGTCAAGTTCCTCCAAACCAAACTCATCCATCCATGTCTTTATGGACCTTCCTTTGTGCACTGGTGTGCAGTCATGTTGAAATAGGAAGGGGCCATCCCCCAACTGTTCCCACAAAGTTGGGAGCATGAAATTGTCCAAAATGTCTTGGTATGCTGACGCCTTAAGGGTTCCCTTCACTGGAACTAAGGGACAAAGCCCAACCCCGGAAAAACAACATCACACCATAATCCCCCCTCAACCAAACTTTACACTTGGCACAATGTAGTCAGATAAGTACCGTTCTCCTAGCAACCGCCAAACCCAGACACGTCTATCGGATTGCCAGACAGAGAAGCATGATATGTCACTCCAGAGAACACATCTCCACTGCTCCAGAATCCAGTGCTAGCGTGCTTTTCACCACTGCATCCGACGCTTTGCATTGCACTTAGGGATGTAAGGCTTGGATGCAGCTGCTTGGCCATGGAAAACCATTACATGAAGCTCTCTTCGTACTGTTGTTGTGCTAATCTGAAGGCCACATGACATTTAGAGGTCTTTAGCTATTGACTCTGAAGACATTTGGTGACTTCTGCGAACTGTGTGCTTCAGCATGCTGCTCTATCATTTTATGTGGCCTACCACTTTGTGAGTTGCTGTTGTTACCAGTTGCTTCCACTTTGTTATAATACTACTAACAGTTGACAGTGGAATATTTAGTAGCAAGGAAATTTCACAGATGGACTTATAGCATAGGTGGCAACCTGTCACGGTACCACGCTTGAATTCATTGAGCTCCCGAGAGCAACCCATTCTTTCACAAATGTTTGTAGAAGCAGACTAAATGCCTAGGTGCTTGATTTTATACATCTGTGGCCATGGAGGTGATTGGAACACCTGAATCCAATGATTCGGAGGGGTGCCCCATTACTTTTGGCAATTTAATGTATTTAACAAGCTACAGTTGTGGCCAAAATTATTCAACCCCCAATGCTGTAAAGGGGTTTAGGGACTATAGTGTACATTTGGAATTGTATTCAGAATCAAATCCTACAAGGACGTTGTAACTACCCAAATGCAACTAAAATGACATCAATTGTTTATGTAATACAGTAGTAAATGGTTCTTATGTGGTTTCTTCATTGCCACAATTATTCAACCCCTTAAAGACTACCACTCTGAAGAACAGAGGTTCATACAGGTGCTTTCCATCAGGTATTGAAAACACCTGTGGATGTCACCGAGCAGCAATCAAGCATAATAAGCACCAATTAGGCAGCTTTAAAATGACTGTGATACTCAGCTCCTTCTAGACATTTACTGGTGTGGTTACAAACATGGTGAAGGCAAGAGAATGGTCCAGGAAGACAAGAGAAGAGGTGATTTCTCTTCACAGGAAGGGCAATGGCTATAAGAAGATTGCAAAGATGTTAAACATACCAAGAGACACCTTAGGAAGCATCATTCGCAAATTCAAGGCAAAGGGCACTGTTGAAACGCTACCTGGTCGTGGCAGAAAGAAGATGCTGACTTCGACTGCTGTGCGCTACCTGAAGCGTAGAGTGGAGAGAAGTCCCCGTGTGACTGCTGAGGAACTGAGAAAAGATTTGTCAGATGTGGGTACAGAAGTTTCAGCCCAGACAATAAGACGCACACTGCGTAATGAAGGCCTCCGTGCCAGAACTCCCAGGCGTACCCCCTTGCTGTCTCCAAAGAATAAGAAGAGTCGACTGCAGTATGCCAAAAGCCATGTGGACAAACCACAAAAGTTGTGGGATAGTGTTCTGTGGACTGATGAAACAAAATTAGAACTGTTTGGGCCCATGGATCAACGCTATGTTTGGAGGAGGAAGAACAAGGCCTATGATGAAAAGAACACCTTGCCTACTGTGAAGCATGGTGGAGGGTCAATCATGCTTTGGGGCTGTTTTGCTTCTGCAGGTACAGGGAAGCTTCAGCGTGTGCAAGGTACCATGAATTCTCTTCAGTACCAGGAGATATTGGATGGAAACGTGATGCAGTCCGTCACACACCTGAGGCTTGGGAGACGTTGGACCTTTCAACAGGACAATGATCCCAAGCATACCTCCAAGTCCACTAGAGCATGGTTGCAGAGGAAAGGCTGGAACATTTTGGAGTGGCCATCGCAGTCACCAGACTTAAATCCGATTGAGAACCTCTGGTGGGACTTAAAGAAAGCAGTTGCAGTGCGCAAGCCTAAGAATGTGACTGAACTGGAGGCCTTTGCCCATGAAGAATGGGCGAAGATACCCGTAGATCGCTGCAAGACACTTGTGTCAAGCTATGCTTCACGTTTAAAAGCTGTTATAACTGTAAAAGGATGCTGTACTAAGTACTAAGATTGAATGTCACTTGGGGGTTGAATAAAACTGATAATGCTGTGAGCACAGAAAAGACATTTGTGGTTATTTCATTATAACTGTTATGTTATATTTGTCTGACCTACAAGTGCCTCTTTAATGTAAATGTAAGCAAGATGACTGAATGATCAAAAGCAATGTCAAACTGGCCAAAACACTCAATTTCAGTGGGGGTTGAATAATTTTGGCCACAACTGTATTAAACAGGTGTTATGAAAAAAAAATTTGAAAATAACAGTTGAGCTTGGTTATTTGTCTTTATCTTGAAATTACCCTACTTAGGAAGCAACAGGTAGAAGCAAGGCCAAGGTGAAACAATCATGTTACAAATCCATAAAGGAGGCGAGTTTAGAATTCTAATGGAAAGGGATCACTGGAGACTTCTTGTTACTAAAAATTAATGAAGGATTTTCAGGTAATTTTGTGGTCTGCCCATAGTATATACTACACCTGGGAGAACAGAAGGATGTCTATTTGTGGAAAACACAATTGGCTCAGGCATTAACATGACACTGTCTTTCAAAGTGCTCAGACTTTGAGCAGACAATTCACTGCTGGCCACACTGTTCTCTCAGGGGGTGAGAAGGCATAGCGATTCCAAAGTGGTTTGAGGTTCTCCTGTGTCTCCAGTGTTAAACAAGTGTCTTACTGATTATTGTAGTTGAAGAACAACTTCAGCAGAAATTCCTATGAGTGGTTAATGCGATTTGAGAGCTATGCTCCTTTCGTTGGTGAAAAAAAGATATTTGCTAGAAACATCTGAAACAGAGGAGACTGGAAAACTAGTCTAGATCCTATAGCTTACATTTTATGTTCTCTAGTGTGGAGAAAGGTAATTTTGACTACTTTGTCTGTAGACTGTCTATGAGTTCTTTTGGGGTCCAAGGCCCTTTGAATATGGTAAGCTTCTAACCCCTCATTCGATTTCCTAGCAACAATCTCCTCCAACAGTGCTGTAACTATGAGATTAGATCATTGATAGTCTATTTAAGACCTTCGATTGCTCTGCTTTCCTTTAAAGGATAAGTTCACCTTTCGTAACATGTTACATGTTACACCCATATTCAGGGTGTAGCATGATACAATCCGATCAGACCAGATCTTCTCAACTAGCGAGGGATCTCTCTCGCTCAGCCACGTCATTAATTCACAGTCCTTCACAGTCCTCTGTGAATGTGAGACTTCAACTCCCAACAGCCTTAGCAGCTTGTCAGCTTGCAGTCTTCAATGAACTACCTCAACACTGTAGAGTGCTGTGGTAGTTCATTCTTCCTGTCATCCCCTGCGGGCAAGCAGATATACTGACAGATCTGCAGGAGATCTGCATGGCACCAGCAATCTGCTGATCACTGGTGCAATGCTTTACAGGCTCCTGCAGACCAAAAAAATAAATGCACATTTTTTTCCTGCAAAAAAATGTGCATTTTTTTTTTTTTACTAAAAGGTGAACTTATCCTTTAAGGATTCAATTTCTAAAATACTACACTCAGCAGACCAGCTAAAAGGTTACTTTCTTGTCACCAATTTCTTTGTTTGGTATCTCTAAAGATCTTAAATGTGTTTATTAAAGTATTGTTTCAGTTCTCAGGATCAATAGCAGATTGGACAGTAGGTGCCTATAAGCATCTCCAAGTCTAGACAATCAAAAGTGTTCTGAAAAAACACTTGCATGTGGAAAGTCAGTAGCTATGTTGCCCTTTCTATTTGTCCAAAGAAAAAAGGTGATTTCTGATTACCCTGTATTTCACAGAATGCTATTATATGAGGCTAGTTTCATATCCAGCACCTGTACCATCTCCCAAACACAATTACCTTATAGGGCTTGTAGTCTTGATTCCACAGTCCCATGAACTCTGGCTGAGAAAGGCTCCCACTTTCCTCTTTTAGAACATAAGGTATTTCTTGTGCTACATCAAAAGGCTCCTGAGTGGCGGAGTTATCTTCTTCATCAGATGACAAAGGAGACGGGGACCTCCACTTCTTCTGTAGGAAATAGAAAACCAGAAAGTTACCATTCCCCACTATTAATACCAAATGAGTGTCTTGTGATAGGCAAGTGGAAAGTGTTCATCAACAATCACAAAACAGATATACAAAAGGGCAAAGCACAGCATGAGTAAAAGACTCAGTATGAAAAGTAAAAGCAAATGCCACAGAAAATGGCTTTTAACACTATAAATATATTTCTAAAGGTTCCTATAATATGACAAAAGAAAATGTTAGCACAGTTACTTAGAACTCTTTCCTTGTAGCTCTAGGTCTTGAGTTTAAATCCTGTCTACAACAATATCTGCCTTGAGTATCTATGCTCTCACTGTATCTCTATTGAGCGTGCACAGTTCCGGTCTGGAGCCGGCCAAGACCATCTGAATACCTGCTCCAATGTGTTCAGGGTGCGGGGTCACTCTGGCGGAGACAGTGTCTGAGCATGTCATGTGATGGTGCAAGGGAGCCAAGCGGAGCAGCCAGAGCCTTGTGTGCAGGTCTGCGGGACAGAAGCAAAGCAAGCCCGGAGCAGACTCAGTGCTGTTTGCACTGGAGTGGACTGAAGGGACCACCTGGTGTGGAGAGAGACTGTCACTGACTGTCAGTGTGCTACTGCACACTGCTGTCAGTGACACTGTGAGAGTCATTTTCATGTGTGTGTGCCTGCCTATCCTAATTTCTTGCCCTCGTGCATCCTATCCCTGAGCTACTTACAATATCATAAATAAAATAAGAAATATGATTTTTTGCCTTAATATCTACATTAATACACATTGCTAATTGCATATTGTACTTGTTTGTGGCCTAAATACAAAATTTTGCACTTAAAACTGTAATCTTTTAACTTTTGGAAATGCCAGTAAAGACATGGCTGTGCCAGTAAAATTTGGGAGTCGTGACAGTGAATTTAAATCTGGTAGGTTGGCAACCTTGTACTCTATCGCTCTCACTACATTGTATAGATGAACCTGAAGGCAAACAGCTAAATACAGATATAGAATATATAATTTATGTATTTATTTATTTCAGGTACTTATATAGCGCTGTCAATTTACACAGCGCTTTATATATATATTGTACATTCACATCAATCCCTAACCCTCAAGAGGCGTAATAATATATATATATATATATATATATATATATATATATATAGTGCTGCCTCCAGCAATATATGGGACTGCAGTTGCACTTGCGCATACAACCTGTGCTGTTCTCTAGCTAGTTGTTTTTGATAATGCTGCTATCTTGTGACTATTATCTGTAATACTTGTAGCTTTCTGTATTTTATTCCCCTCTTCTTTGATGTAATTTCCTTTTCCTTTGTGTGTGTTACTGTTTCCTCCCCTACAAGAAATACATGATTACCAACAGTGCATTAAAATGGACATTAGATGGTGGTGGCTTGCCATTCAGGGTCACTCACATGAACAGAACAGCCTCTGAAACTTGTATGCTGAACAGCAGGACACAGCTGGTGAGCAGGGCAGTCAGGGACTACATTTCCCAAGAGGGTAGCATGTGGGCAGGGGTATATAAATATCAAAGCCCAGGAGATTGGCCAGGAAAGTGTGAGAGGAGAGCCTGAAGGAGAAGGAGGTGTGCTGGCGACTGAAGTGCAGAACTAGGTCGCGGAGCCAGGGTTGAAAGGAGAAGATAAGCAGAAAGAGACTACTGACCACCCGGTCTGCTACGCTGCCTAGCAGGCCAGTCTGACAGCAGGAGACCAGACAAGACACAGAGTCAGAACCAGAGAAACCAGAGAACCAGGTCCGTGGACTGACCCCATCCGCAGTGAAAGACAGACTGCTACGATCTGCCGGACTGCTTTGATCAGGTGAGAGAGACCCATGCACCCACAAATCAAGTGAATACTGAGAGTTTGTCACCTCAGCTATCTACCTACACATAGTTGTGAACATTACATATAGTTGCCCGAGTTTGTGGCCTAGTTTCACCAGCTGCCAACGTTGGGATACATCAGCATTTACAGTTCATCATACAAGCTGACTGCAGGACATACAGTCGCAGACCAGGATACAGCAGTGCCAACTGGGACAACAAGTTTCCTTTTTCAACAAAGCAGGATTCCTACTACTGTTCATTTTGCCTTTGATATTCAGAGGGAGTTGTCCTTGTTCATAGACACTTATGTCCATTTGTTGCTATTCAATACTTCAAGCCTGCCTTATGTTTAGTGCCTTAAAGCGGACCCCCTGCACTAATTCGCTACCATCAAGAGGGAACGTGTTAAATCTTTCTCTTTTTTCCCTCACTCTGGGCCCCAACAAGCGTGCGGAAGGCACTGTAGTGCTCTTAAAGGGGCATTGCTTAATTTCATTTGAGAATTCTCTTTACTTCACATTTAATCCTTGTCATCTAGCTCTGAGTGCCCACAGTGAATTTACCTGTTTCTTGATAGTTGTTACTGCTCACTGGGTATTCAGCAGTCCCCTCAGATTAGAGGCAGTGGATTATTTCTGAAAGCAGGCCTGCTATCAGTTATTGTTGCTTTACTGTGAATGTTGTTATGTGAATGTCGTTATTTTTGCTCACAACTGCCGAGAGTGTTTATATTTGCTGCATACATCAGTGTTATTTTGTTCTCTTTGACCCAGGTAACTTTAATTCCAATAAAATATATATTTATATTGCTTTATATTAACTTGTGTGTGAGTCCATTTTTGGTGGTGTCAGCAGAGGCTGAGCTTTCAATAAGAGATCCAGATTGACAGGGAATCCAAAAATTACTAAGCAACCTTTAAGGGGGTAGTGCTACAACCGCTTTAAATGCTTGAATAGCAAGTCTACTGCATCTTATATTGCCTCAATGTGCTACATACAATAAAGATATTCATGGATGCCAAGAATCTGAAAATCTCCTTAAGAGACTGAGAACATTACATGTGGACTTTCCAGATGTAGGCCTTGATGTTGCATACTTTAGTAAACTTATGAAGCTGCAGTATAAAAAGTGCCTTAATCAAGAGACTTCAAACTTTTCCAAACATAACTAACAAAGATCATTGTAAGCTCCAAGAACTGAAGTGACCTCCTGATGGAGCTATAGTTGGCAAAGGCAAACCACCACCTGCCAGGACTAAGCTTTTGGATACAGCACAGGGATCAAAATACAAGAGACAATAATGTATCCTTTCCTCCATTCTCATATGACAATACAGCAGCTAAACATAGAGAGTTAAAGGGGAATAGTAGCTGTTAAAAAGACAAAATAGACATTCCATTTACCACAACTTCTTCTACTGATCAGAACGTTTCTAGTGGTAGAGATAAAGCCTCACCCTCTGAAAAAATGCCATGGTTTAGGCAAAGACTTTGCGGCAGTGCAAGATGCTTCCCCCCCAAATTCAGAATATGCTATAGAGGCTGTGGCTACTCAGACTATTTTGCTAAAGATTGTAAGGCTAGCATTAATTGTACAGAATGCAAGAGTGGCGAGCATGGTACAGTTATGCATCCTACTCCACTTACTGACAATCCACAGCACCCAGATACATCCAGCCCTACCTCAAACCATGGTGGGGAGCTACAAAGTCATGTTCCAGGTGCAACATTTATTTCCTCTGGGGGAAAGGCTCCAGTTCCAAATTCTGTGCCAAGGTATGTCTAGTCAAGATATACTCAGAAGAGACGCTACTGTGTTTGTTTAATTGCCCAATCGGCCTGCGGTGGCCGTATTAGACAGGCGACTTTTCAACCATTACAGTGTATATTTGATAAAGAGAGTTTCCCCTTTCTCTGTACAAAAAGTGGTGGTGGCATTAGAGGGTTAGTTGCGTAATTAACCCGACCCAGTAACAAGCGCATTCAGGCTGCAGACACAGATTGTAGACCAGCGGTTCTCAACCTGGGGGTCGCGACCCCTTTGGGGGTCGAACGACACTTTCCCAGGGGTCGCCTAAGACCATCGGAAAACACATATTTCCGATGGCCTTAGGAACCGAGACACCGCTCCTTGATCCGTCTCCAGGTGTGGGCGGGATGACATGCCGTCCCTGTCATCTGGACACACCCCCGGGATCAATCCTTCCTCGTCGGTGAGGAACACACAGGCGGCCAATCACCGGCGAGGAGGTGGAGCTTGGAAAGGAGGAGGAGGAGCCGAGCGGCACCGCGAAGCTCAAGCGAGTGAAGAAGAGGAGAGCAGCCGGAGAAGGAAGCCATCTGACCGGTAAGTGTTTGTACCATGGGAGAGGGAGGGAGCGAGCCAGCCCAGGCTGGAGCAGGGGTCAGCAAGGTAAGTATCATTGGTGTCAGTGGGAGGAATAGTGCCCAATCATTGGTGTCACTATTACCAATGATGGGGCACTATTCCTCCCCCCATTGACACCAACGATGGGGCACTATTCCTCCCACTGATACCAACGATGGGGCACTATTCCTCCCACTGATACCAACGATGGGGCACTATTCCTCCCACTGACACCAACGATGGGGCACTATTCCTCCCACTGACACCAACCATGGGGCACTATTCCTCCCACTGACACCAATGATGGGACACTATTCCTCCCACTGACACCAACGATGGGGCACTATTGCTCCCCCTGATACCAATGATGGGGCACTATTCCTCCCCCTGACACCAACATTGGGGCACTATTCCTCCCACTGATACCAACGATCTGGCACTATTGCTCCCCCTGACACCAACATTGGGGCACTATTGCTCCCCCTGATACCAATGATGGGGCACTATTCCTCCCACTGACCCCCCACTGACACAATGAGAGGGGCACTAACGATTGGGGCACTATTCCTCCCACTGACACCAACGATGGGGCACTATTCCTCCCACTGACACCAACGATGGGGAACTATTCCTCCCACTGACACCAACGATGGGGCACTATTCCTCCTCCCACTGACACCAACGATGGGGCACTATTCCTCCCACTGACACCAACGATGGGGCACTATTCCTCCCACTGACACCAACGATGGGGCACTATTCCTCCCACTGACACCAACGATGG